ATCCGCAGGCCAGAGCTTGTTGTTTGTTTCCCCCCCTTTTTTTTTTTTCTTTCCAGCTATCAGAATATTTTAGAGCAATGTTATTAGCATTTTTGAGCGACCTTACCATTTCTTGACACGCTGAGCCCAACCTGGACCAGAACTGGGCAAACCAAATTGCTGCCCGGTCTGTTGCACAGTTGATACTGAATTTAGGTGCTGGAGAAGCTCAGGGCAGCAGAGGCTCCCTGACACGGCCAGGCAGCGACTGCAGCCCCGGGCGACCTGTGCAGCGCTGCTTGTGTTTAAGGTCAACTGCTTGCAAACACTTTGAGGAAGGCCTGTATTCAAATACTATTTATAAGATCAGACTAATTTCTTTCTTCATAATGATGGCTTTTTGGCTGATGACAGGAGTGGAATCCAGAAGAACTGGATTTTTACGTGCCACTAATCAGCTGCATATCCACAGGGAAGTCGCTTGGTAGCTTTTCTGCCTCCGTTTTTTTTTTTTTTAATTAAATTTTTAAAAAATGCTGACTAATACGTGCCTCACAGGGCCCTGAATGCACAGGTAGTAGCCACATGCTGTGAGATCTCCAGAAAACACTACAGGAATGTCCAAGGGGTTTATTATGGTGAAAGAACTGGCAGTGAAAGAACTGGTTAAGCCTGGGTTAATGTCAGGCTGTTCATTAAGGGCAGACTTAATAGGCGAGGCTCTGAGAGCAGCTGCTCTTGGCTTCACCTGCAGTTACAGTGGACAGCTCGAACCTGCTGCAATACTGGAGCATTGCAGGGGGTCGGAGCGGGGCTGAGGTGGATGCAGGAACGCTGGGATCCACCTTGGGCTCTTCCTTTCTGCTTCCAAACTGGCTTTGCAGGCAGATTGTGCCATAGCCACAGTGGATTTTGTCCATTTAGCCCCATGGTGATTGCTGCTTCTGCCACTGATGTGTCCTTAGCACCTTCTTGTCCAGAAAAAAACCGTTTATTCCACTGAAACCTTCCTTTGTATCTGCCTGCCTCTGGCTGTTGTTTTTTCACCTTTTAATTGAACAAGACAGGAATGTTTATTAGGTAGCAGAAACGTTAGCATGTGATATTAGAGGTATAAACCAAGCAGAAATAAGAAGAATTTGCAGCCTTCAAGCTCAAGATGTCTTTATTTAAATTGAAAATCCAATCCACTTCTGTGCGATGTCTGTATTTTGTTTTTAAAATTTTATTTCATTGTGCATTTATACAACATGTTGTAATGAGCAATGGCACAAAAACCACAGAACTTCTTTTAGGGAAGAGCGGGTTTCGGGGTATTTTCCAAAACCAAAATAACCTTGCCAGGCATTTGCAGTAGTAGGTTAAACTTCAGTAAAGCTCCTAAAATTCAACAGTGCTACAGTCACCTACCTAAAAACAGAGACAGCCTCGGAAATTGAAATGTAAATCTAGGCTTACTCTATTTGCCTTCGGGGGTTGCTCTCTTTGTGGTTATGTGTGTTAGCTGGTTCTGGTGACTTGGCAAATTTGAAAGGTATTGTTTAAAAAGAAAAATCACCCCTCATTCTTCTGTAAAAACAGGTCTTTGGGACAAGGAATAGGGTTTTGGGAGCATGAATTCAATGGTGAATTTCAAATCACAAGACTAAGTTAACGTGAATTTCAAGCTGATGTTGCTGCTGGAGAAGAAAGCGGCTGTTGCTCTCCGGCTTTTCCTTTGCTCCACTGAGTTGTGTTGACCCACCATTTTTGGTACCAGGTGCTGGTGATACAGGTAGCGACACAGGTCTGGATGTAGAAATTGGTCAAAGCAACCCGTGTGTTTTGCAGAGGGTGTTTGGTCAGCCAGGGTTAGGAGGGAGCAGATGGGGAATGAGGAGGAGGCTGGAGACCTCCCCCAGCTCTGGGAAGAGTGGTGTTAAAAACCAATCACTGGTAAAACTCATCTTCCCTCCTCCTCCTCTTGAGAAGAGCCTGCAGCCCTGGGTGAAGCTTGCGAGTGAATTGGCCGGTTTCACTTTTATTTCCCGAGCACTGCTCTGAGCAGCTGCAGTGTTAGGCTGCACGCTGCAGTGGAAGCTTTAAATCCAAACTTTCATGCTTCAGATACGTGGCGGCTTTTCTGAATGTTAGGTGCTGTACGACAGGAATCGGGGCACAGGGGAAAGAAGTTATTCCTTAATATTGAGCCCCAAGCAGTGCAGAAATGTGAATTCCTTGGAGCGCGTAACCAAGAGCCGCAAGTTAGAGGAAGGAATTAGCTTGAGGAGGAAAGATGCACTCGCTTATCAGCGCCGAGGCAAGGCGGAGGGGGCAGCACGGCGCAGCAGGGATGTTTTTGAGCCTGGCTTAGTGCAGCTGGCCCTCGGAGCCAGCCGGGAGCTCGCGGCAAGGATGAAATATCTCCGTCGAGGAGCGCTCGGCGCCCGGGGCTGGGCCTGCCCGCGCGCCGCAGCTGCGGCGGCGTCTCCAGGGAGGAAGTGGAAGAACTTTCGTCCTCGTCCTCTGCCTTCCCCGCGGCCGCGAGCGAGGAGGGCGGCTCGGCCCTGCCGTGAGCCCGGCACTGGGCCCTGCGCGAGGCCCCTGGGCGGCCCGGGAGCGGGCAGGACGCGGGAGAGCAGGCGGGAAGGGCTTTCTCCTTCGTCCTCGGCCGCCGGCACGAGGAACTTCAACGAAGAGGAACCGCAAGCGCCTGCTGGCGCGGGCAGAACCCCCTGCCCTGGCGCAGGGCTTGCTCCAAGAAACTCCTGCGACGTTGAGGCTCCTGTAGTGAAACAGATGGTTTTGCTTCCTCCTGCCCTATCCAGGCTGGGCCCAACATCTAGTGTGGGTTGCTGAAGGGAGTGTTTAAACCAGGCCCTTGCACTTTAGGGCCTAACCAAGGGGCTGTGTTTTACATGTGATGTCTTTGTTACCATTGCGCCAACATGAGAGACTCCGTGCCTGCCTCATCGTGAGAGAAAGGAGGTCGGGGAGGACGTGTTGCCCCTTTACTGGCTGCTTGCAAGGACTTGGGAGGGTCTGTGCTTCCTCCGCAGGCTGCTCTGGTATCTAGGGCTGTCTTTTGACAGGGGCACATCTCCTGCGCAGGTGACTTCCAGGTTAAGATTATCCCAAGTCTGTGCTTCTCTTCTGCACTCACTGTTACCGAGTGCCCCTTTTATGCTGCGTGTAGAAAAGGCCAAGATCCAACATGCCCAAAACGGGATCTCCAGAAAACCCACTGCGCTCAGGTCGAATTTAATCTCAGTGCAGGCAAAGCTGGAGTGGGCAAACCTCACAAACTAAAGCTTCGTTTCGTCTTTACGATCAATCCAAATATTTTGAAATTAAAAGCAAAAGCGACGTTGGGTGGATGGATGTGTGTGTTTGTGGGCGACGCCGCGGCGTTGCAGGCGGAAGGAAGCGTGTGGGGCCGAGCGCCCCGCTCGCCTGCGAGGTGGGGCTCGCAGCTGCCCCGTTATTTTTAGCTTCCGATTATCTCATCGTAAATGTGGATCTCTCTTTTTCAGCATGTTCAGTAAATGAGGCTCTCGGTTTCTTCCTATGAAGAATCATTTTCCCTACGAAAACTCACCTAAATGTGGATGAGTTCTTCACCCCTATTTTATTCATTCCATCTTTAAGACTTTTAGTGATGCAGAAGTGAGTGGGATGCATTTTGCAGGTGGCTTTACATGCTTTTTTTTTCTGCCAGATAGCTCTACTTTGGATCCTGTGGCTAAGGCTATGGGTGCAGTCAGGATTACAAGGAAGAGCCAGAGCTTCTAGAGCGACTTCTGCACTTGGAAAAACAGAAGCTTGATCAGAAGGGAGGGAGAGAAGCAAACAGTGGATGTGGATTTTGCTCCTTCCATGCAAGAATGTGCACCAGGGTGGTCATAAAGGACTTTTTTATAGGTAGAGATAAAAGATACCACCAGTTTCCATCAGTGCATTTTCCAGTCACTCACTGTGATAGTGATTCATAATTATTTTTTTTCTTACTTGATGGCTCATCCTCGCCTGAGAAAAGATGTGTAAAATGTTTCCATTTTTAGCTCTTGAGGATAATGGATGAATAAACTTAGCCTTCCTTGGCTGTTGTGCACAGCAGGTGAACCTTCCTCCTCAGGATCAGCCTTTCACTCTTTCGCTGCCCTGGCTTAAAATACCAGCCCTGGGAAGGCTCCTCGCCCGCTATCTGCACATGGGTGGAAGAAAATGTTCTAGTGCTTGAAAATGTGCCGTGAAACATAAGAAGTTTTCCGAAGGCATGGAGCAGCATTCTCCTGGTTCCGGACTGCCCCCCGGCGTGTTCGGTACCGCTGCATGTTTGTTTGCTCAGAGCTACCAGGACTTGCTTTGCTGGGGGCAAACACTGGTTATTCCTGGCTTCCTTGAAAAATATGGAAGCACAAGATTGCCTTTTGCAAGGAGTTGTTTGAAACCATCGACTGGTTTCAAAAAGGAGGTGGTTTTGGCTTTCGAATTCTGTCCTTCGCTGCGGCCCTGTCCGAGCAGCTCCTAGGAGCAGCGATGGTCAGAATGAATGGGAAGCGCCCTGCATGCCGGGTTTGGAGGGGAAGGTGGACGGGCTAATTTTAGAAGTGAAAGAGAGGAAGATGATGGTTTGTGGTAAGCTTCAACAGGCTGCCATGGTGGGGGAAATGCTGCTCTTTTGGGCTGCCAGGGCATATAGGTGCTGCGCTTGTTCAATCTTAAACCACGTGTTTTGAAATGATTTTCATGCTTTAACTTCCCTCATGCTGACTCAGTTTGGTTGTGAAAGTCTGAAAACTTCTGGTCTAGAGCAAGATTTCCGCAGTCAACAGAATGGGTGTAGCCTGGATACGTTCGTGCTTTTCTTTTTGCATTAGCAAAACATCTTCCTTTTTGTTGATCTTGTGGGATCTGCTGCTCTTGCTGACTCCCTTTCCCCAAGACTGGTTCATTTGCAGAACTCATGTTAATACTCCTGATTCCTCGTGCAAATTTGTATATTAAGATGATGATTTTATTTATTTCCCCTCCTCCCCCAGGACGCTGCACTGAAATCTACCATATCTGATCTTGAATGAGGAAGACCTGATGGTGGATGCTTTCAATTGCCGGTTGCATAAACCAGCCCTGAATGGAAGTACAGAGGTAAAGGACACTTTCCATTGCTAATACCCTGCCAGCAGAGGCAGAAGTGCATTGAATGGTGCCTGAATCCCTTACAGCTTTTTCAGCCTCTCTTCGTAGCAGGGAGGGCCTATTCTGCTGCGTTCAGCAGCAGCTTTAGTGTTTTATCCTTCCTCCTAAATTACACAGCAAATGGCGCATCTACTGCGTTCAGTCAGGAAGCTTCTAGTGGTTGAAGTGGAAATCTTGGACCTGCATGTAAGGCTGCCAGATTTATCTGAAGTCTCAAATTTACAGCAGGGAATGAAGAACCCCTGCTAGCTGGGTTGAAGTGAGTTAACCCCACGCCTCCTCTCCCCTAAACTTTCAAGGACACATATTTAGCAGCAAGCAAATAAAACTCATTGTGAAATGTTTGACTAATTTCTCAGCTCTAGAACAGTTAATTCTAACTGTAAGGTATTTTGTTTGTCAAAGTTGCCATCCAGATGAATCTGATACAGTTCTCTCATGCTGGTCATCTTGTTCCTCGTCCTTAAACTGCATGTGTTCTGTCTGTCCTTGTTTTGGAAGATAGTGCAGACTTTTGAAGGACGTTTTACTTTCTGTGCAGCCTTTAAAATCTATTAGATTTCTTTAACATTTGTCTTGGATTAGTCTGAGACTTGAAGGGCGCTTCTGTGTTTGTTTTGACTGTGAATTTATCTTGCTTTCTGACAGAGATTGGTCTGTCTGGCAGTGGGTGAGAGCATGCAAGGCATTGGGAAGCCTCCCAATGGAGCACTGGAGCATGTGCTGGGAATGCTGCAAGGCAGAGTGCTCTGTCAGGCTTGTTTTTCCCCCCAGTCTTTGTGCTGAATTTGTCTGTGATTGTTTCATCATTAATTTTATACCCAAATTGTGAAAAGTCATGAAACGGTTCTCCTGCTTGTGCTTCCCATGGTGCTTCTAGGATATTGGCCCATCTTTGATGGCAAAACGCCCTGATAGTTCTGCTCTTGCTTCATGTGCTCAGCTCATGGACTCATTCTTAAGCTCGATACTAACATTTTAGTTACAGGTTTGACAACCTTCTCATGCACTACTGACATCAGCCTTGCTCGTTATATCTAGAACATAGCAGCTGGTTAATAAATATGAACGTGGCAAACTGGGGGATAAATTTTGCTGCGCTCTTTCTTCTCACCATGCTGTTCTCCCCGCATACCACCTCTCACCATGGAGGACTGCAAAACACTGTGCAGGCTGTTGGGTTTTTTTTAAACACTGGATTAAAATGTCAACTCTTAAGCAGAGGCTTGAGTGATACACAAGACTGAGTGAAAGATTCAGGCAAATGCACTTAAGGGTGTGTGTCTGTGTGTTTGGTTGCTGCATGTGTTCTGCATGTGTGTAGTAGAGTGGCTGAACTGCGCTCTGTGGAAAACAGCTTAAAATCTGTTGATCCAGGACAAGCACAGATAATTATCCTTTGGTCCTCCCTTCATCTGGAATATGTGGAGGCAGAGAGCAGCAGTTAGAGATTCCCCCTCTCTGTTAGCCTAACTTAGTTTAGTGTTATGGGTGTTTTATGCTGGATTGAAAATAGTCTAATGCTCTTAATGTGTCGAGTAAGAGCACCTCGGGGATGCTGTGCTTTGTGAGCACTGAAAATTAAATTAAGCAACCAGCTCATTGCGTGGCTCCTGCAAATGTTCACCAGGTGCAACTTGTGCTGGTGGCTGCACACGAGAGGTCCCCAGCTTTCCCACGTGCCATAATGTGCCTAACAGTGCTCGTTACCTGGGGACGCTGCTGAATCTTAAAATGTGTCAGGTTTAAAACCTCATTTCGTACAGTTCCCCTCAGTGAGGGAATAGCAGCAGAAAGCTTTTCTCCATCAGACATTTACACTGCTTGCAAGCCCATATGAACTGACAGTTTTATCCTTTGCTGGAGAAGGAAATAATCCAGAATACTGCAAGCGCACTTACATAATTGACATAATTGTGCTTGCGTTATACATACTGCATATATACCTGTGACTTGGATGCCTAGGTAACGTTTTACTAGAAAGGTGAAATGCCCACGAGTGCTGGTGTCTGAAGAGTAAAGCGGAAGAAGGGGCCTTCGCCCCGTGACAGCTGCGTGTTACCTTTCCTTGGGCTCCTAGAAAGGTTTGACAAATCTGTTTCTTCCTGTTTTTTCTTTTTGCTAATGCTTCCTGTAGCATAATTTAAAATATATTAGGCCAGATTTTTTGCTGCTTTTGCATAAAACCCAGATTTAATGCACCTTCCTGCTGCTTTGGAGAACTTGGATTTCGGTTGGTTCTAAACCGGGAGGACCTGGGATTTGGATGGATTTGCATACATACAAAATCTAAATACTATAACCAACACTTATCATCTTTATCTATGCAATACTGACTGCAGCTAGTAGCAAGATACTGGGTACATTAATAGAACTGTGTTAGCAACTTTAAATTTGCTTTTTTTTGGATTGAATGAAGACTGCTTGGCAAGTTGGAGCCACAACATCTAAAGAGAAGCTCTACTGATACAACTGGTGCTCTCCTTCAGAGCTAAAACCAGTTAGGGGCTGCTGCCCTGCAGCTCTCGCCCTTTGTTTATTCATCCTACCAGCTGCGGTGATCTGGTTCTTCACCACAGATCCTTCATTTATTGGAAGTGTTTGGAAAGAATTGAAGCGGCTTTACTTTAGGTGATAGCTGTGATAATCCCCTGATAAGAGGTCTTTTAAGGAAAATGTAAGTTAAAAAACAAGGTGGCCTTCATCTGATGCTGAGGATGGGGTTGTGTGGGTGCTCTGGCCTGGGTGTGTTCTCATCTGCGGCAGGCTGCTTATACTACTGATTTCAGAACTGAGCGTGAGTTTGTAACTTCTCTTTTATCACAGAGTTAGTTTCCTGCCCCTTCTTTGAACTTGTGCTCGACGCTGCTGCTGCGCCGAGCACTCGTGAGCAGCCGGGTACGAGCAGCAGTGCTCATCTTCTGCCTGTGCTGGTGCATTGCTTCTGCTACACACATTGCATTGAAAGACTTTCCAACTGCCCTGCCCCAGTTAGCGGGGCAATGTGCAAATACAGGCCTGAGTTCGTGCTCGGAGAAATTCATATTCAAAGTAAATTTTGCAGGGTGAGAACAAGGAAGTTCCTGTTTTGCAGAAAGTGTCCTGATTGAAAAGAGAACTAATGACTTGTCCATGGTTGGACAGAGCCTGTGCGAGTCCAGGAATTAATTCCCAGTAAGGCTAAACTCCCTCTTGCAGATTGTTTTTGGGGTAGCAAATAGCTTTTGTAGTCAAATGCTACAGCCTGTAATCTCTTCTGCAGCCAGAAAATAGTGAATTTTCTTCTGTTGTCAATTTTTTCCTGATAACAACTTTTCTTCTAAGGAGTTTGACCTAATGAATTAGTGTTGCAGCTTTTTTTCTTTTTCCTCCATTTTGCTTCATTCGGGTGCGAGGAAGCAACTTTGCGTTACTCAAAACTGAGGTGGAATTTCTCCTTTGTCCTGCTGGATTTTTATCAGAGTCCTAGTAATTCAAGAAGGCCACCGTGTGCTCACTGAAGGTGAAACTGCGGCTGTTGAGTAATTCTAGGAGCCCGAGGGCTTATCTGGCACTGTTACTAGTTTGCTACTTGCACAGGAAAGTTTGAGCTCTGGTTATCAAATTGGAAGACAAAAATGTATCTTAGCTTCAACTATGTAACTGGTGCTCCAAGTTTGTGCAAAACTGCTTAGAAATTCTGTCTTGCCCTTGTCTTTGCAGTGTAACAGTTGTAGAATTCATCAAGTAGAAAAGATAATAAATATAAGTTTATATACATTATATATAAAGGAATAGTCTTCTTTTAATAGAAGTTTGGCCCATGTCCTGTGTTTATGTCTAACAAAAGGCGTGTTTTAGTTGCTGTTGTGGTCGGACATTAATTTCCATGTTGGTGGAGCAGTTACTTTCCTTCTAGAAATTCATCTGGTCATTGACCTATTTTATCAAATCTTTTTGACTGGCCAGCGTCAAACCTGGAGCACAGGTCAGAAACTAAAGGAGACCAACGTGTATGGGGCACTTCCAGGTGCAGGGCATTCGGGGCTATTCCAGATATTGAGGATCACTAGAACCTCTCATCCCTGACGTTGATGTTTGTCCTCTGATGCTTGTGAGAAGCGGCCAGGAAGGAAGGGCGGATGGAGCAGGCGCTGCCTGGGTTCACTCAACACTTTAAAATTAAGTTTATTTCTTCAGGTCTTTTCTGACCTTAATGCCTCTTGCCTAAAGTTCTGATACACTTAAACTCTGAAGCATTATCCAAAAATACTCTGGTTGTGAGCTCTTACTTGAAATCTGTGGTCATTCTGTCAGTGCACATTTACTGGAAATGCTTCTCCTGGATTTTGTAGCTGTGGGCATAGTCTGTTCACTGCTTCACACTGGTTCCTAGAAAATTTAGGGGAATTTCTTGCCATGACTCATGCTGTAGAAGTGGCAGATGCTACATGCTTTGAAAACGATTATCATAGTTTCTGGAGGCGCTGTAGATGCTACTGAGTGGTAGGAACCCAAAAATATCTTGGGGATGAACTTGGTGATTTCACACCAACACTATTCCTCCCTTTTTCATGAGGATACTTGAGTGAAATCTTTGTGTCTTGTTCCCTATTGGTGCTCTGCAAAAGTGCAAAGTGCTACTGCAAAAGTACATTTCAGCTTTCAAGTTTCATTTTCCACCCTGCTGTCAAGAGGATCTGGCTCTGTTTTTAGTCCTCATAGTCAGCTTCACTGCTCCCCATCTCCATCTGCTTTTGCTTGGTTTGGGGCTTTGTTTTGTTTTTCGAGAACCTCAGCCCCTCTCTGGCATGTGGGGTGAACACCAGGGACTCGGATGCCTCTAAGGATCAGTCCAAGCCTGATGTCCTCAGCACACCTGGGTCACGTCACCGACGATGGCTCTGCGGGGGCTCCACGAGTGATACTGGGCCCCCAAGTACTCTGAAGCAGCTCCAGGTTTGTCTTCC